AAGAAGAAGAAGAAGAAGAAGAAGAAGAAGAAGAAGAAGAAGAAGAAAAAAAAAAGACTTGATTCAGCTGTTAAAGATGCTTGCTATGTAAGTGTGAGGGCCCAAGTTCAGATCCCAGCACCCATGTAACAAAGCAGGCATTGTCCTTGCACACACACACACACACACACACACACACACACACACACACACACGTGAACACAGACAGGACAGCCAGGGCTTGCTGGCTGCCAGCCTAGCCTAAATAAATAGTCAACAAAGAAGTTCAAGAAACCCTGATTCAAAATAGGGAGAGTGATGGAGGAGGCTCCCTGATGGCCTCTGGACCCTGAATACGCAGGCATGTGCAGGTCCACGCACACATATATCGCACATACGTCACACACGTAAATCACACTCATGCATGCAGAATTAAAAAAGTACAATTTAAAAATAACTAAAAAAAGAACCATTTCAACCAACTAGAATTTGGTGTGTGTGTGTGTGTGTGTGTGTGTGTGTGTGTGTGTGTGTGTTCGTGTGGGTGTGCTCAGGCCAGAGGTCAATGCTGTCCTCCTAAATCTTTCTCCACCTTTGTTGTTTGATGCCTCTTTTTTTTTTGTTTTGTTTTGTTTTGTTTTCTGTTTTTTGAGACAGGGTTTTTCTGTGTAGCCTTGGTTGTGCTGGAACTCACTCTGAAGACCAGGCTGGTCTGGAACTCACAGCAATCCACCTGCCTCTGCCTCCAGGGTGTTGGGAAGAAAGTCTTGCAGCAGTGTGCCCAACTATGCCCAGCTTTCTAAGGTGGGTGCTGGGCAACTCAGATCCTCCGGCTGCACATTAGTACTCTACCCACTAAGCCATCTCCCCAGACCTAGGTTTCTTTATTTATTTTATTCCTGTCCATTTGGGATGTAAGAATAAAAAATGAGCCTCCCCATGAGAAAAAGAAAACTACCGTTCCCTGGAATTTTCAAGAAACTCAGCAAGCAGATGAGAGCAAACAGGGCAGTTGAGTCTTGTCACCCCAGCCCTGTGCCTAAGGTCTAGTTACAGTCTTTGGAGGGCTATGAGCCTCATTGAGGTCCAGGTCCTATTCCCTCTGGGTGAGATTAATTGACATGCCCCAACCCCAGCCCAACCTACCTGTCTTGGTTGCGCTGTAGATGTTCTCGATGGGGAACACGGAACCCAGGCCATACAGCAGGACCTTGGCCAGTGCGGGGATCAGTTGCGTGGTGGTGACTAACACATTGACACAGTTGGGTCTGGGGACAAAGGCAACTTGGTGTCAGTCCCAAAGGAACCACCAGGCAGGTCCTGGTGTCATGGGGGAGTTAGGGTAGGATCTGGGGGGCAGGGAGGGGTCTGTGGGCCCTTGGAGGGTATGTGGGAGGCTGGGCTATCTTCAGGTGGGGTGTAGCTGCCGCTGGCCTGAGCCTGCCCAACCTTGGTGTGTGGTAGGTAGGCTGGCTCCTCCCTTTCCATTCATTTATGTTTATATGTTTTTGAGACAGGGTCTGACTACAAAGCTCTGGCTGGTCTAGAACTTGCTAGGTGGACAAGGATGGCATCCAGCTCACAGAGATCTGCCTGCTTCTTCCTCCTGAGTGCTGGGACTAAAGTTGTGTCCACTACGCCCAGCTTCCTTCCTTCCTTAGAAGCAAGAGTTTATTGCAGTAGCTGCAGGCTCATTAGCTGCAAGGTTCTAGGTCACGTGACACAGAACAAGTGTGGGACTGTTCGGACAGGTGAGGACTGGGTTCCACAGGACGACACAGGTCAGTTCTAATCTTTTGAAAGTTCTGAACCTAGAAGGCTGCTGGAGTTCCTCACAGCAGGTGTCCCCTGGGGTGTGAAGAGTTAAGCTTTAGGCCACATGGGGAAAGCACGCAAGGGAGAGCTGAGAAGTCCCCTCCACATGCCCAGCCACGGGTGGAAGTGGAGATGTCACTGCTGTGCGTGGGGGAGGGGTGGCCACTTGCCGAGCGCTGATGAGGTTGAGGGCTTTCAGGGAGTGCGTGAGCCAGAGGTCAGTCAGGGCCTCCAGCTCGGCACGCAGCTGCAGCCACGTTTCTCTTTTGGGAGTGCCTATCAAGCCTGCAGTAAGGGGAATAAAGAGGACATCCTCCTGTTAGAAAGAGCTGAGGGGAATTAGGGAGCCGAATCAGAGGGTACTCAAAGACAACTCAGTTTACCCACTCTTCTCCACCTTCAGAGTATCTACCGACTGATTCATCCAACAGCTCATCCACACCCCCATCCAACCATACATCCAACTACCCATCCATCCACCCACCCACCTACCCATTCATTTATCCATCCACCCACCTAGCCACTCATCCATCCATCTACCCATCCACCCACCCACTCACCCATCCATCCATCCACCCACCCACCTATCCATCCATCCATCCATCCATCCATCCATCCATCCATCCATCCATCTACCCATTCATTTATCCATCCACCCACCTATCCACCCATCCATCAATCTACCCATCCACCCACCCACTCATGCATCCGTCCATCCATCCACCCACCCATCCATTCATCCATCCATTCATCCTTGCTTCCTTCCATATCATAATAGGCCCTGGGTTCAACGCATTAACATGGACACAAAGACAGAGCAGAAGATACTAATGACTAATGTTGCTGGGTTCTGGCAATGTACGGAGCATGCGCTTTTACTGTGACTTTCTTCCTTAGATCCTCACAGAGGATGGGCACCAGAGGTGGGCTCTAATTGTAGTCTGTCTCTTAGATGAAGAAACAGGTCCTGTAAGGGGTTGACACATCCGCTTAGCACAGGGAGAAAAGAATGGAGACAGAATTGGCTGGCAGTGGACTCCTCCATGTTTCTGAACTATCTTTCCCAGCTAGCCTTCAGCCTCCTTACGATGAAGCCCAGAGGCTCCAGATGACCCGGTCTCAGCTGGCAGCCTCACCTCCCTGCCAGGGCTCTAGCGTCTTTCTATTTCGGCCTCAGGGCTTGCCCTTGTTCACTGAAGCACTAGGTGTGTGCCTGCCCCAGGACCTTCGCACGCTCCGCTACAGATCCAGAGCTGTTCTCTTCCCATCTTCTCCATCTTTCACTCAGCTAAGTCCTCCCCCCAACACTTACAGTCAAGTCCCTCCCGTGTACCCTTCCTCAACACATGGACCTCTTCTTCCCAGGGCTTCGATTAGGGTTTAAAGCTATGTGATCATGAGTCTGGCAGTGATGGCACAGGCCTTTAATCTCGGCACTCGGAAAGCAGAGGCAGACGGATCTCTGTGAGTTCGAGGCCAGCCTGGCATACAGAGTGAGTTCCAGGACGGCCAGGAACTGGAAACATGGTCATGTTTTTTGATGCCTGCTTGGTGTCCAGGCTCTTTACTCCGACAATTCAGGGCCAGGAGGGACTTGTGGGATACCAGAGGGCACATGCTTGTTGTTGAGGTGGCCTGCATTGGGGAGAGTGACTTTACTGGAACTCAGTGCTGCTCTGTGCCCTGAGCCAGTCCAGGCAGGCATCTAAAAAAAACATATTTGTTTTATTTGCATTGGTGTTTTGCCCGCATGTGTGTCTGTGTGAGGGTGTCAGATCCCTTGGAACTGGAGTTACAGATAGTTGTGAGCTGCCACGTGGGTGCTGGGAATTGAACTCAGGACCTCTGGAAGAGCAGCCAGTGCTCTAAACCACAGAGCCATCTCTCCAGCTCCCAGGTATGCATTTTTAATTAGCTTCAGGTGGCTGTTCTGGGGACAGCACTTGGTCCTCAAACTGTTTACCCCTCATAAATTGGCAGGTCAATGGCCTAAACTGATGGCTGGTAGGGGTGAGGCCAGGAATCTGTATTCTCCTAGGAACACATGTAGACTGCCAATAGAGTGGCTTTGGTAGTGTTAAGAGGCCTCCATGGGGACCTGGTATTCTGGGACAAGATGTATCCCTCATTGGGTTACATCAAGGCAGCCGGGAGAGGTTGGCAGACCTTTGTAATCACAGCATTTAGAAGGCCAGGGCAGAAGGATTTCTGAGTTCAGGGCCAGCCTGGCTACAGGGAGAGGCTGTGCCTCAAAACCAAGACTGGGGAGATGGCTCAAGAGCTAATGTGCTTGTTGTGCGAGTGTTAGGACCCAAGGCTGGATCCTCAGCACCATGTAACAAGCACCAGCCTGTAACCAGCCCAGCGATGGAGAGGCTGAGACAGGAGGGTCCCTGGGGCTCGCTGTCCAGCTAGCCCAGCCTGAGAGCAAGGCCAGGCTCGATGAGGGACTCTCAAAAAACATGTGGAGAGTGACCGTGGAAGATGTCATGCATCTGCCTCCACATGCCCATGTACCTATGAACCTGAGTGTGAACACGCATGAACACACACACACACACACACACACACACACACACACACACACACATACACACACCAAACCAAGCAGCCCACTGGGATTCTTGTATTCATAAATCTTCCAGAGCCGTGGCTGGCCCCCAGCAGGCGCACCTTCCTCAGCCTCCCGAGCTCTCCCCGGCTCTCCCACTCTCTGGGCACTCACCACCCACGTTGTTCCGGTAGGTGTTGTACATTTCCTTCACCCGGCGGTAGCGGAATGCCAGTTTCCTCATCCAGTCCACCCCGCCATGCATGCCCGTACCCAGGCACAAGCTGGCCCCCGGTGCCGTGCTGTGGAAACCGTCGGTGGAGAAGTTGTATGTGCTAGAGAGACAGGAGAGGGGTGACATTAGTGTGGGGAGGCCTTGCGGTGTCCACGGGTCCCTGGGCACACTGAGGGTGCCTGGCTGTGTGTCTGGAAGGGGGAACTTCAGCTCTCATTAGATTCCTACAGAGGCCGAATGCTTGCTGGGGTCAAGCAGGGCCCTTATTTCAGTCTTTGGGCATCAGACTGAACCCCGAGACTCCCATTGGGAGCTACTGCCCCTGCATGCAGAGGCCAAGCCCGAGAAAGCCTCCATCATTGCCCCATGGAATTCCAAGTGCCAGCGAACTGTGCTTCCTGAGGGCCAATGTGCTTGAAACCTTGAGTGTGACATATGCACGCTCCTCTCTCATCCCTGCGTCTAAACGCTGTGCCTCCAATGTGTGCGTCACAAAGTTCCTGAAGCTAAGAGGAATAAGAAAACCGGTTCATGTATCTTTACTGAAGTTTTAAACTTTACTTAAAATTTGAGCTTTGCTTAATCTTCAAACCTTGTAAATTACACTCCTGAAGCAGCTCAGCCCACTACAAGATCTACAGATGTCAACAGCCCCCTTTCTGCAACCAATAACCAATCAATCAATCAATCAATCTATTACCTATCAGCCATCTATCATCTATTATCTTTCATCTGTCAGTTATCTATCCTTTGATCATCTATCTATTGATCTGTCTTCATCTATTATCTATTATCTACCCATCTACCTATTAATCATCTATTTACCTACCAATAATAATCTGTCAATTGTTCTATTAACATTTAATCATTCATTATCTATCATCTATCACCTATGTAACATCTAGCTCTCAGCTAATCTATCATCTATCAACTATCTATTCATCTATTTATCAGCTATCAGCCATCTATCTATCATCTATCCACAACTTACCTGTCAATTCTCAACTAATTAATCTGTCAATTATCTTTCTGTTATTCAAACAATCACCTTTCAATTATCTCTCTGTAGCTAGCCATCTATTATCTAACAGTCATCTATTATTTATTAATCCATCTGTCCATCTGTCCATCTGTCCGTCCATCCCTCTGTCTGTCTATCAGCTATCGATCATCTATCCACGTGTCTTCTATTCATCTGTCTGTCTACTTACCTTTCTCATGGTAAGGACAATAAAGCGGCCTCTCCTTTGAGTTTTTACTCTTTCCCTAAACATCTCTCTTTCTGTCAAACTCTGTGCTTAAGACCTGGGGCCGGGGAGATGGCTCAGAGGGTAGAGTGCCTTTGAACGCAGGCCTGAGGACCTAAGTCCTGACCCTCAGCACCCATGAATATGTAACGCTGGGGTGGGTACTTGAGAGGCAGAGGCAGGAGGATCCCTGGGGCTTGTTGCCCAGTCAGTTTTGCCAGAAATTTAAGTTGAGGCCTGAGGTTTACCAAGAGAGCCCATATCAAAAATAAATAAGTGTGGTAGAGGAAGATATATAATGTCTGGCTTTACACACGTTAGACACTCATGTACAGAGAAGCATATCTGCACACACTAAAACAAGTTTTAAAAAAATACCCATATTGGCTCGTCCTGGAATTCCTTTCCATGGTAAAGACATGAGTCCAGTTTGACCTGTGTCGAGGTCCCCAGGTGGGAAGAAACTCCTCTGTCCCAAGTTCTTACCTTAAATCCTGGCCATTGTCATCAGACGAGACATCGTCCACGTGGATTTGGTCACAGTCCTTGTGATAAGAGCAAAGAGGTGAGAAAGGTCCGATGGAGCCCATACTGGCCTTGAACTTGCTATGTAACAGAGGACGACTTTGAGCTTCTGATCCTCCTGCCTCCACTTCCCGAGTGCTGGATTATAGGTGTGCATCCCCACACCTGCTTCAGGCAGTGGAGGGACAGAGCCAGGCCTTCCTGCCTCCTAGGCAAACACCATCAGCTGGGCTACCTCCAAGCCTGGGGGTTGATTGTAAGAGTGTATTTCCTAAGCTGAGGTGGGTGAGCACCAGAGATGGCATTCTAGGGGGACAGCCTGGGTTTTGTCACTAAAAGTGAGGGCCTCTGCTAAGGTCCTGACTGCTCTCTCTTTGGTTCCCATCTGAACAAGCACGGTGCCACGAGGAGGGATAGCAGTTAGCCTGGCTGTCAGGTGGACGCTATTTAACCTTTACAACAGTGAGGTCTGTGGCATCTGGGCCACCTTCAACACCACCAGCCGTGAGAACTTGCCCCATGCCTCAGTTTCCCTTCTGTCCTTACTCCTGTATCAATAACCTTGTGTACCTGAGGACATCATAAAGCAGGATGCAGAGATTTCTATCATCCTGGGAAGTACTACGGAGAGTGCTGCTCTAGGAGAAAGGAATATGGCAGCATCTTACTCCTGGACTGGGTTAGTGAGCTCTTCCAGGGAAGGGTTTGTCAGCTGGCCTGAGGTCACGGCTATATAGCCCACTCTGTGTTGCAAAGTGTTTGTTTGTGTGTGTGTCCACATGTGTCCATGGGTTTGGGTGCACAGGCACTATTACACTCACACATACAGGAACATATGGTGGCAAAGGCTGATTGATGCTGGGATGACTTCTTTTTTTCTTTTAAGAAGAATTGGTACTTTCCTATAATTAATTAATTAAATAATTTTTACTCTTATTTGCGTTTGCCTGCATGTATGTCTGTGTGAGGGTGTCAGATGCCCTGGAACTGGAGTTATAGACCGTTGTGACCTTCCTTGTGGGCACTGGGAAAGTCCTGTGGAAGAGCAGCCAGTGATCTTACCCACTGAGGGACAGCTTCAGACCCCCCCCCCCCCGCAAAGTATTTTCTGAAGTGATTACCAGCATGTAAACCAAGGGGACCTCTTCCAGAGTTCCAGGTACCACGCCATTTGGAACTGAACTTTGGCTGTGCCCTGCAGCCTGGAAGTCCACATTGCAGTTTCTCCTGCAGTCCCCTTTGGCTTAGCCTCCCCCGACTAAACCATTTACTTGGCTCTTGTGGACATCTGAGTTTGAGATCTTTGCTTCATGGCCGTCCTGTATGAAGAAGGGTCCAGGACCCATCCTGACATGCTTTTCTCTTCTGAGACAGTCTGAGTCTAAGCTGGCCTCTAATCCACCATGTAGCCAAGGCTGACCCAGAACTATTGATCCTCCCACCTCTACCACCTGAGTGCCGTGAATACAGGACAGGCACGTGCTGCCGCAGTTTGCTCACGTGGTGCCGGGGACGGAAGCAGGGCTCTGTGCATGCTGGGCAAGCGCTCTGCCAACTGAGCGGCATCCCTAGCCACCTAATCATTTGCATTTATAGTTCAAGGCAGACTGCACAGATCCAAGCATGGAGAGAACTGTCTCACATGCCCTGCAAACCTGGCACAGGGTGGCCTCTCTGGGGCCTGGGAGCTCTGCAGGGGTCAGACTCTCCCCTCCACATCCCCGAGTTACCAGGGCTCTCCTGACATCAGGGGAAAGGCATGTGAGGAGGCTCTGCTTTTCTCATTTGTGAGGGGATTGCCGGGGGCGCTAAAGTGTGACAACGGCGGCGATCACGTTTCGGACTTCATAAAATACCACGACACGCTCTAGACGCTACCTCATACTCCACCAGCTGATCTGGGTCAAGTCGCCCCTCCAAGCCAGTGACCAGGCCCGCTGGACAGTGCAGGGGGTGGGGGCCTGACTGAGCTTTTGAGGAGGAACACTGCTGTCCCTAATTCTGCTGTGCTCCCCAGGGCTGTGGGTAGCCCTCAAAGGGGAGGCACATTTACATGGACTGCGGAAACTTCTGGTCTACTGCAGGTCAAAGAGGGACCGTCGTGGGGGAGGAGTTTCCGTAGACCAGCTGGCAAAGACAGACAGAGGGTTCCTACAGCCTTGACCCAGATGAAATGATGTGGGGTAGGGAAGAGGACACCGAGAGAACAACCGTACAGCGCCTGCCGATTGGTGCAGTGAGGAAGGTGGGTACCCCAGCCTTCTATCTACTGCAACGGGGTGGAACAAATGGTGCCATGCCCATTGGGGGAACTCCAACGTCATAGCCTAGAAGATCAGGGCAGGTCCTCAAGAAGGATCCCAGGGCACCTGAAATTGTAGAACAGTGACTAAGAAGGAGACATTGACTGTGGAATTACGTGTAGGGTGAGAACAACTCACTAAAATACCCGGTATCTTAAAAGAACAGATTTTTAAAAAAGACAGTAAGTGGGAAAAGAACAATCTAGAAGTCTGTCCGTCTGGCAGGAAACAGCAGCTCCACAGGAAGGAAGCTGAGCTTGGCTTGGTGGGCAGTGGAGAGATTAGCCTTCGCTAAATGGTGGCACCACCGAACCAATGACAAAGATAATACTAAATGCGAGAGCTGGGGATGGCCCCCAGGCAGGCGTCCTTGTGTAGCATGTGCGTAGCTCTAAGTTCAGTCCCCAGGGCTACCCTCACCAACCATGGCAAAACAAGGCCGGGGGCATGGCTCAGCAGTGCAGTGACTGCCTAGCTGTATGAGGCTCTAGGCTTTTGTTTGTTTGCTTGTTTTTGTTTTTTTTTTTTTTTTTGAGACGTGGCTTCCCTGTGTAGCCTCGGATGTCTTGGACTTGCTTTGTAGACCAGGCTGGCCTCCAAACTCACAGAGATCCCCCTGCCTCTGCCTCTCTGAGGGCTGGGACTAAATGTGTGAGCCATCGTGCCTGGCAAGGCTCTACTTTTGTTTCTCAGTGCAGAACAAACAAACAATAAAAACAGACAAGGGCTGGGCATATGTAGGCCTACTGGTAGAGTGCTTACCTGTAACACTGGAGGCTCTGTGCTCAGTCCTCACTAACACACACACACAGACAGATATTATATGCATATACATTACTTTTGAATAAATGACTGAAAATATCTTCCTGCATGCAGGCAAGACCTAACGCATCCTATGAGCTTTCACAGTGGCAAGGACTCTGCCTAGACCTTTACATAGGTCTAAACACACTCACTATTCGTGGGAGAAAATGAATCGGAACGCACTGGGGCTTGTCAGACTGTCCTCGTCACAAACAAGCGCTGTTGGCGTCTTAGCCAGCACCTGTGAACGTGTCTTTATTTGGACATCGTTACTGCGAACGACTCTGAGCAGTCCCTAGGCTTGGATCCAGGGGAGATTTTGTCTCTGCCCGGTTCACCCTGCACCCGCCCGATTTGGTTTGACCTGGGAAGCTAAGCAGGGCCAGGCAGCTTAGCACCTGGATGGGAGAAAAGGCGATGATGATTCTGACACAGAGGAAGGAGGCTACCAAGGTAGGGTGACACACATGTACAGGAGGAAGAACACTACCAAGACGCTACACACACACGTGCTGAGACACACCTGAGACCACCCGGAGGGGAGCTCGTGTCCCTCACGAACCTCAGAAGGACCCACCCTGGACCTCAGCTATCTGGCTCAACCAGAGCTCACTGGCTCCCGTAGAGGCTGCGGGGCATGTGCACAGAATTTGGGGCTTCTTGCCCAGGACATGTGTCCGCCTCCTTGCTCTCTTACTCGGGTTGTGTTATCTCTATCAGCACGAGCCTGTGGTACTTTGAGTTGGAATCCAATAGTTCATTTTTTTATTAAACCACCTCAGCTTTGGCCACTGGGAACCCTGTCAGTTGCATCCCGTCCCTTTGGCATAATGCATCTTTGGGTCTTGAGAGCTTCCTTAGTTTCTGGTGATCTATCTGGCCCCACCTCCTCAGCAAAGCCTAGTGGCGGTCAACACCACAGTCAACATTCAGCATTCCTTCTTCTCTTTTTTTTTCTTTTTTTCTTTATTTTTTTCCTTCTTCTCTTTCTCAGCTTTCCTCCCATTCCCTTCCTTCCGCCTTTTTTTTTTTTTTTTTTTTCCTGAGACAGTATTTTGAGACTCTTTACCAGCTGCTGGCCTTGAACTACTGTGGAGCTCAGGCTGGCCTCACCGTGTAGCCCAGGCTGGTCTTAAACTCCTGGTCCTCCTGCTCCTGCCTGCTGAGTGCTGAGATTACAGCTGTGTACCACCGTGTGGGTGTGGCTCCTTCTTTCTCAGTCTAGGCAAGGCTCCTTGCTTGTCCTGTCTACTCCCTACCCATCTCCAGGGCCGCCTCCAGGGGGAACCGGGTGAGAGGCCAGGTGCTGGATGCTGGGTGGCGCATTGCTGTATTTCTGTTCTCAGAGGACAGAGCACGGTTGTCAGCTTGGCCTTTTAAATTACAAAACACGGTTAACGAGCACGCCTGCCAGCAGGTGTTAGGAGGCCAGTGCTTGGCGTCTTCAGAGTTCTCCACCTGACACGGTGCAGTTGGTTGTGAGGCAGGAGAGTTCCTTTAGCATCCCGTCTATAGAAAGCACAGCAAACAGGATGCTCTTTCCCTAGTCTCTGTGCACAGAACCTTCGCCCTGGCCTGTCCCAGACGGCTGTCTCCCTCCCGAGTCAGGCTGCAGTCTATGCTGGGGAACTGCTCTCCATGCTTCCCCAGGGCTGCCCATCCCAGCAGGCAGCATGCATCTACTCCTGGGAGATGTACCCAGTCCTTTGGTGACATGGTTTCAGTTCTGCCAAGGTACCCTGGGGCACCTGGCATAGGGACATTGCTGAACAACGATTGGAGAATGAAAACAACCTGGAATCCCTGAGCAGCTCCAGCCGGCTGGTGACTGAGATGGCCCTCCACAAGCTGTGGCCGTGATGGTCACTGACTTTGGGGCTGTGAGGAACAGGAGGGGCAGGAGTCTGACGGTGTTGCCCGAAGCCCATATGAATCTGGCTGATTCCCATCCCACCAAGATGGACAGGGTGCCCTGTGCCTGCCTCAGCCTCCCAGTGCTCAACTGTTTGTAGACCCGGGGTCTCTGTAGGGGCTCTTGGTGTCTCCAGCTGTGTGTGCCTGAGGCAGAAGGATGCTGGTTTTCTGCAGCTACGTGCTTCCCCTCCCCCATTCTCCCTGACCTTACTACAGGACTCTGCGTCCCTCAGGCTGCTCCTCTCACTGCCACGTCCTCTTGGCCATGTTCCATCTGAGGCCGAATCTTACCACCTGGGTCTAACTCCACCTTTCCTAGGACCATTGCAGTAGGTTCTTCATTCATCTACCTCTTCTTCGCCCTCACATTTTCCGTTCCCCATGAAGCAAGCTAGCATTTTGTTTGGTTTTGAGATAGAGTCTTACATGGCTCAGGCTGGCCTTGAATCTGCTATTGTAGATAAAGATGACCTCAAACTTCTGATCCTCCTGCCTCCACTTCCTGAAGGCTGGGATTGGAATTTTGTGCCACCGTGTACAATTTACAGGGAGCTGGATATTGAATATGGCTTGTTCATGCTGGGCAAGCACCCTACTGATCCTAGTCCCAGTATGGTCTTTTCACATGCAAACCACGGCGGACAGGTTTTCCTGCCCAGGGTCTTCTAGCCCCATCATGTTGGGTTCAATAGTTAGAATGAGCCAGTGCCTAGGCTGTATCCCTTCTCTCTGAGCCCAGGTCACCTCTCCTTCCGCAGGGCCTTAGCGTTGGCTATCTGCCTCCATTGCTCTCCCCGGCTGCCTGCTTATCATCATTTAGCCCTGTATGAGGCTCCTCACTCCCCCCCCCCCCCCCCCGGAGGATTTTCACCCTGTGGTTTGCTTTCTCTATCATAAGTCAGTGATGCCCTGGGCTGGTCCAGCCTCTGCTGGAAATGCTTTTGACTTCACAGCTTAGTCCTCAGGGCTGTTCAGGAGCTGATGACATCCCCAGAACAAATAGAAATGTCCTTTCCTGCCCAGCTTAATTTGGGTCGCCTTTAGCTTTCATTCTTTGAGTGACCGTGATTCCAGCGCACAGTCAGTGGCGCCTGCTCGAAGCCTGTGACAGCTCTCTTGGAAACTCCATCCTCTCCCCGTTGAGCAGAGCTGTGGAAGGGTAACCCTCATTTCTATCCCTGCTTATAGATTACCTTTAAACTTGACCGAAGCTGTTAGCGTGAGCCTGGGCAAGAACCCTCATCCAGGACACAGCTTTCTATTGTGTGACCTTTGTTTCTACAGTTTTATTCTACTTTATTATTATTATTATTATTATTATTATTATTATTATTATTATTATTATTTTAGAACTTCCTTTCTTTAACTTTAAGATTTTAAAATTTCTTCTTCTTTTTCTTATTGTATGCGTGCACATATATGTGAAGTAAGTGTGTGCATGTGCCACAGTATATGTGAGGTCAGAGGTCAACTTCGTGGAGTCCATTCTCTCCTTTCACTTTTATGTGTGTTGTGGGGTCAATATGAGGATACCCCAAACACCTTTACTTTCTGAGCTGTCGCACTGGTCCCAGGAGTTCTTTCTTTCTTTCTTTTTTATAGTAATAAATGTAGGTTTATTGGGAGCAGCTCTCAGCTGCCAAGCAGGGAGAGGGGGGAGGGAGGAAAGAAGGGAAAGAGAGAGAAAAGAGGAAGAGGAGAGATGCAGAAACACAGAGAGAGAGGAGAGTGGGAGAAGAGAGAGAGAGAGAGAGCCCTAGTAGTTCTCTTTAAATACGTTTTTCATTTGAATTTATCCCCAGATCTTTCAACACAGATTAGGTCTAAACAAATGAGTTAAGCTGTGCCTGAAGCTTCCTGCCCTTTCTCCTTGCATCTCTCTCCAAGGGCTTCAGGAGCAAACACATTAAGTATATTCTCTCTCTCTCTCTCTGTAAAACATGCGCCAGAGGAATGTAAATGCTTTTTAGAAAGCTTCCACCCTGGCCGCACTGCTAATTACCTTGCCCAAGAGGACTTGTAGTCTGCCTTAATGAATGTATTAAAAAAAAGGCACAACCAGCACCCGATGTGACTGGAGCGGGGAGAGAGGAGGGCCAGAAAGGTTACCCTGACAAGAGTGTCTCCCCCACCAAAGGACACTGACTGCAGGTCTGTACTTGAGGGAGAACTGGGGAATGCCTCAGTGGTGAAGTGAGCTCCATTCAGCTCAGCCTGGCGCAGCGGCTCACACCTGTAATCCCAGCACTCGGGGACGCAGAGACAGGCGGATCGCTGTGAGTTCAAAGCTAGCCTGGTCTACAAATCAAGTCCAGGACAGCCAAGGCTACACAGCGAAACCCTGTCTTGAAAAGCCAAAAAAAAAAAAAAAAAAAAAAAAAAAGAGTGCTCTCTGCTTTTTCAAAGACCTCCACGTTTTGTCCCCAGCACCCACACCAAATCAAAAGTGGCTCACACCAGCCTATACCCCAGCCTCAGGGGATCCGCTGCCCTCTTCTGGCCTCTGAGGGCATCTACACTCATGTACACGCACACATACATAAATAAAACAGCAACCCCGAAACCGTGAAAATGAGCATTGCGTGCCAACCTCCAGGTCATTGAAGAACAGGTGCGTGTCAGCGAGGTTGAAGATCATCTCCTCCATCATCAGGCCGATGCGCACTGATGTCGTGGTGTCCTGTGGGAAAGAGAAGGGACAGTTTTACCAAGTGCGGCCTCTGGGTCCCCTCCCGTCGCTCTGGAAGGAGGCTGGAGTCTGTGCTCTTCTGAGTGGCTGAGAACAGGGCCTGGGCTGAGAAGAGCTTGTGTACACCAGAGGAGGAGAGACAGATACTGTGCAATGATGCCGCTGAGAGTGATGGCTACGAGCAATCACCAAGAGACAGCAAGGAGCGCCGGAAGCCAGGCCGGCAGAGCACACGGCCAGAAACACAGTTGATTCACACAGGTGTGTTCCTTCTCCCCTCCCCCTGCCGGATACAACATGGTTGGCTGCTGTGATGGTTTATCTTCATTGTCAATTTGGAAACATACCTCTTGGTGGGCCTATGACGACATATCCAGAAAGGACTGCATGATGGGAAGGCCTGATTGGGTGTGCATAGCACCCTGGCCTGGGCTGGGGTCCCAGATCAGGTGAAAAGAAAAATGAGAACAAGAGCCAAGCAGCTCCTTTACCTCCCTCTGCTTCCTGACTGCGGACCCAGTGTGACCCGCTGCCTCAGGCTCTTGTCACCATGACACACACACACACACACACACACACACACACACACACACAC